TCAGCACTATCATAACTATTAAGGAGAACTATTAAGGAGAACTTAAAGACAGCTTGTAGATCTGTGGCCAAAGGCTAGTATTACATCTTTTTAATCCTAATGCTAACTAAGGAACTAAGGAGAAACTTCCTGACAGTTAGAACAATTAACCAGTGGAACAACCTGCCTCCAGAAATTGTGAATGCTCCAACACTGGAAGTTTTTAAGAAGAGACTGGACAGCCATTTGTCTGAAATGGTGTAGGGCAGCAGTTCTCAACCTATGGGTCGCGACCCCATTTGGGGTCGATCGACCATTTCACAGGGGTCGCCAAGCAAGGCTGTCCGCCATTTTTTTCCCCTTTTCCGGCGGGTGCCTTACCTCCCTTGAGTGGGAGGTACCGCCAGCTGGTGGTCGGCCTGCTCCGTCTCTGCCGCTTGCCAGCTACGCCTCGGCCGGCGCAGGGGGCAGAACCACACATGCGCGGCGCTCCCGGGCAGGGAAAGTCCTCGACTTACGACCGATTGGGTAGTCGAAATACGACCGGTTTAGTCCTCGACTTACGACCGGTTTAGTCCTCGACTTACGACCGGTTGGGGGTCGCGGCATTAAAAAGATTGAGAACCACTGGTGTAGGGTTTCCTGCCTGAGCAGGGGGTTGGACTCGATGACCTCCAAGGTCCCTTCCAACTTTATTATTATTATTATTATTATTATTATTATTATTATTATTATTAGTAGTAGTAGTAGTAGTAGTAGTAGTAGTAGTAGTAGTAGTAGTAGGCATTCCTATGGCTGGGGTCAAGCTTTCTAGTTAAAAGAGATTGAGAAAGCAAATATTTGTCTCAGGCAAAGTTGGAGGGCAAGCCAGGTGAACGCTTTATTAGTTCAGTCAAGTGTTGCTGACTTTGATACAGCCATGTTTTGTTTCTCTTTCACAGATTGGAACTTCTTCTGTAGTGTATCCTGCTGCTATGTTTGCTCCTCAGGTATCTGCCAGGGGAGTGCCAGTTGCAGAATTCAACATGCAGAGCACTCCAGCAACGGATAAATTCAGGTAACACCTTTTGTTGTTATGGTGAGATCCTGTTTGTGCAGCAATGTAAATAGAATTGGAAGGATTTATAAATGCTTGTTAGAAAGACAAGGTCATCTTCTAGTTTACAGTAGTTTGTTATGTCTTCTTGGCAGTACTATAGAAGTCCATGGAAAAACAAATGAAGATCAAATGAATGAATTAAAAAAAAAAGGCTTGGCACTCTCTTTATAGATTTCCTGTGCTGGCATGAGGGATCAGACACCTGTCTCCTAAGATTGCCTTGTTTTTGATTGAAGTTTTAATATAATAGCCAAAATGCATTTGTAATAGGCACTGCTGTGGGAACTCCATAAGTGGTTTAAATTAATAAAATGTGTACTGTACGTATAACTTAACTGAAAAACAATTTAAATCACAAATCTTCTTTATCAGATTCCATTTCCCGGGTCCCTGTGGTACTACGCTGCCCCCAGCCCTTGCCTATAAAGAAACTTGAATGTTTATGAGAACTAAAAAAGAGAAAAACTATAATTGCCTATTTCAGTAATGGTGCAAATCTAAAAGGAACCTGTTCTCCTTTGGAAAACGCCTTGCCTGAAACTGAACAATGGAATCTGAAGATGACGTTGAACAAAATAAATCATGATTCTCAGATGACAAGAACGAGCAGTGGAGAAGGATGATGGACAGTGACAGGAAAAGTGGTTATCGCTTTTTTGGGGAGGGGGGAAATCATGTGAATTGAAAGTATAAATATACAAACTGCTCAAACGTATGAAAAAGATATTTGTACTCTATAGAGTTTTCAGATTGTATCTTGGATAAATGTCAAGCAAAACAAGGATGTTACCATTAGTCATATTTCACAAAATTATCTTCTGAAAACGGGGGTAAAATTCTGAAAATTTTAAGAATAAGCTAGCTTTTAATAGAGCCTACACTCCAGTACTTTGCAGAAAATCAATAAACGAAAGTATTCTTTGCTATGAGATGATGCTCTCTAATGGGTTCAAGATTGTAAGCAATATAAAAATAGTAGATTAATAACTTCAATTTGCATATGGTTGCCTACTTTAATTTCACTTCCAGAGTTGAATGAATATATGTATGAACCTAAATACAGCTTTTAATTCTTTGCTGTCCTGAGGCACTAAAATAAATCGATGCCTTTTTAATTGATTAATATTGTTTTGTTGATCAAAAGGTGAGGCTATATGATCTCATGTTAGCAGGTGGTAGACAGTAGGCTGGTTTTTTTTTTTTTTTTTACTTCTGCCCCTTATTAGAGTAACACTGATAAACACACTGAAGGGGAATGAGCTTGATATACAAACACTCTGCATGACTTAATAGGTCCCATTTTATAATTTAATATTCAGACTAGGTTTGATTAAATGGAAAGCAATGCTCATCAAAGGTCTGCTTGTGCTACAGGAGAGGGCGGAGAGGTAATGTTTTGTGGCCCATGGTTCTGTGGAATGTGGAAAACAATTAGCAAAGTGGTTTCCTGTTCCTTCCTCCACTTAGGATGCTCTGGTCGTTTCTTCCACAGTTAGCCATTCGGAATGCCTGTAATGCCATGTATTTTTATAGAGATGCCATTAGCCGAGGTTGTTCCCCTCCTTTTTAGCGATCCTTTTGGGTGGGTGAACTGGAAAGAAGATACATTTCTCAGATCCTAAAGTTGCAAGGGGCCAATCTTGCCCAGTTTAAGAATCAAGATTAAAGCACTCCACTGAAATTGGTATCAAGCCTGGGATCACATCCACTATCTCTTTGGATTAGTGATGTCACAAAAAGATGTAGAAAGCATAAATAAGATTTCATAATTGTAAAATCCTAAAAGCAATACAATCTTAAAAGTAAGACAGCATTTTCTTATGGTAGCTGTAATAATTGTGCTTGTCTGACCATATAAAAAGCAAAATCATGCTCGGAACAAGTGGAACTTCTGCTAGCAAGTGCCATTATGAGGGTGGGGTACAACTTGCTGTAGAAAGAATAACAAAGGAGTAGGTAGTGTTTCTAGTTTCTCCAAACGACAAGGGCAAAGTTCACTCTGTAAAAGAGGTATTGTTATACATATATCATGGAAAACCAGATATAAAGTGAGTCAAAGAAAACACCACAGGAACAGGTAATATCAAGTATGTAATCTGCTGGTTCAAAGACTTTTTGTTTTATGTCCTGTCACTCATTATTGGTTACCTCGATTGCCCTGGTCCACCTGGATAGACTTATTGAAGACCTGCCAAATTAAAGTTCTAGCTTTTAATAGCTCCAAGGCTAGCAGAGGTTGGTATGAAAAAGAACACTGGCATAGCTAATTCTGGATTCTAGTTTTCTGGAAAGAGGAAAAAACTTGTCAGAGTCGTGGTAAGAGAATCATTGGGAAAATGAACACGCCAGCAGTAGAGCCAACACATGTAGATTCTTGGCAACAGGATCACCTCAGTTTTAAGTGGATTGCTGCATTTGAAACATAGCAAGGTACCCTGGGTATCTAGATTGGATGGTATTTTAAGGGCTTAAAAACAATAACTCGTATAATGAAAGCCAAGTAACATCTGGGAAATGGATCTGATTTTAAAAGGTCTTATGGCAGTGAGTATGAACTTACTTTCTCCAGTATAAAAGAAATACATAGGGCTTTAGCTCCTTCCAGCTTTCTTCATTGGATTTTCCTTCTAGGCCTGCTTATTTATTAATCATATTTAGAGACTGCCCATCTCACTCTTTGAGCGACTCTATGATCTGGTCTTTTCTAAGTCTCTTCCAATTTCTCTGAATCCTAGTATTCAGAACTGGAACAGTACTTGAGATGGGGCCCCTGGCCAAAGCAAATTAGAATACGATTTGGAAATATTGCTTTCCCTGATGCACGTTCCTTTTCTCTAGTAAATTGGTAGTTTTTTCACAACTACACTTAGCAAGATATCTCTGTCTTATGTTTGTGCATTTGATCAATTTCCTAAGGATTTTGTATGTTTGAAATGTCAGTTATTTTCAGCCCATTTCGCTAAGATCATTTTAAATTGTATGTCCACAAAACATTCTAATGTCTCACCCAGAAATTGCTGAATATTCTCTTCTTTTCATCTAAAACAGTCTTAATAAAAACACTGAAGAGTAGTCAGGCAGTGGGCTGAGCCTGCTGAAGCAGGCAGGCCTGCCAAGAGCCAGGGTGGTGAGGTGGCAGCTGCAAGAGGCCAAACACAGTTTTATTTGTTTTCCTGACAGAATAATTAATCAATGGAACAACTTGCCTGCAGAACCTGTGAGTGCTCCAACACTGGAGGTTTTTAAGAAGAGATTGGGCAACCATTTGTCCAAAATGATATATCCTGGTTTAGGACTAGAAGACCTTCAAGGTCCCTTCCAGCTGTTAACTCTGTTATTCTTGTAACTGTGCCCTTGCTCTGTGGGGCTTGAGGATGGCCAATGGCAGTCCAGTGAACAGGAAGTGAAGAAGATAATGGTCAGCTGGGGAAACAGGGAGGCAGCAGCAGGTAGATGGTGGTGGCCGAATACAGTGATGTCTTCATCTTTGCCATTCTGTGCAGGACGCCAAAAGAGCAGAGATGGAAAGGAGATAGGCAGGTGGTGGAGTTGAAGCAGAAACAGTTTGTTCAAGATGGGAAAAGTGAGAAATCCCTGCCTATACGACTGCTTAGTCCTTGTTTAATCACTGCAACACAACTGTTGTTAAGCAGCATGGTCACTTGATGTTTTAACAACTGCTTTGCTTAGAAAAAAAATTCTGATCCATTAAATAAGGATTATCTGTAATGGGATTTGCACCCTTTCACGCTTGTCTATGTCTCCTACAATAGAAGAGGAAATGGATCTGAAAGTGGGGGTTTCAGAGCAATTGTGATTGTCTATTGCTGTGTCTACTAGGAAATACAAGGTAGACCAAAATAAATCAACTTTTATGCAGTCTTTTGGGGTGTTAAATTTGCCACGAGAATACTGAAATCAATTGCCTTCCTAACATGGTAGTGAGAAGAGCTCAGAGCAAAGGCTTGGCCGTAGATTGTGCAAGTTATTTTTTTTCATACAACATTGAAGCCAGGATGCAGTGAACCCTAGTGAACTGTCCAGCTGTTCCAATCTGCTAATGGAAAAGCAGTCAGCAATTTTCCATTGTGTTTGGGGAAGGTTGTTACATTTGGCCGGCCGAACTCTAGTGGCCGTCTGACTTTTCGGTCCAATTACAACAGCCCGGATTTTGGACTACACTTCCTACCACTCCAACTATCACTCCCTTAGTTTGCCGTTCAAAATGAAGGCGGGCGATTTATTAAAAAACGTTCATCTAAAGCAGGGGTAGTCAACCTTGGCTCTTTTATGACTCGTGGACTTCAACTCCCAGAATTCCTGAGCCAGCACAGCTGGCTCAGGAATTCTGGGAGTTGAAGTCCACGAGTCATAAAAGAGCCAAGGTTGACTACCCCTGATCTAAAGCACAGACAGACACACCGAAAGGGCATGAGCCGGACCCGCTATTCGTTTTGGGAAGAGCGAGAAGCATAAAACGCTTCCATTGGTGTCAGAAAAACGTCCGAACCTACATTTTGGGTTCTTCTTTCCCGCGGTCCTTATAAAAAACCCTTTAGTTTTAACGCACAGTTACAGGTATTTTACACTGTAAATTGTCTCTGTTGTCTCCACAAATCACCAACGAGATGGTTTTGTTTTAAAACGCTCTAATACGGAGAGAAGAGGTTGCCTTCCGGGCATTTTAAAATTCTATTTTTGACAGCTCCCTTCCTCGGAACGCGAAGGGAAGCGGGCCGATTGCTTCCGGCCATAGAGTTCGAAGTTAACCGGAAGTTAGGTTAGCAAGATGGAGGCGCGCGGTGATGGCGCTAAGGCGAGGGAGGAAAAGGAACCGGCGGTTGTGGTGGCCGCCGCTGCCTTTTCCGACGGGGAAGAAAGCGACGAGGCCCCAGAGGAGGTGACTTTCGAGAGGGCGCGGGAGGCCGCTGCGGAGGAGCGCCGGCTGGCGGGGGAGCGCGCCCGCAGGTAACGCACAAGCCCTCCGGCAACCCTGGCGAGAACCGGCGCGGCCCCAGGGGCAAGCGGGGAGGGCAGCTTCGGAGCGGCCTCACCGCCCTGCCCTGCCGATTGCACGCCCTCCTGGGAGCGCTGCCCCGGCGCAGCAAGGCAGAGAAGCCAAAAGCAAACCGAGGCAGCGGGAGGTTGCATTTAAAGCCAACGCAGCGGGACTTTTCAGGAGTGGCCCTTTGTCCGATACTGCCAACGCTGATTTTTCTAGCCAGGCTTTCCGTAGGAATTTCCCTTCTTCCCTAACTCCACTCACCACTGTCTTTGGCCTCATTGTTTATGGAAGCAGTTGTAAAGCTGCCTCTCGTACCCAGAGCACCTGAGGGCGGGACAGGAAGTAACGGATGGAAACTTATAAAAAGAGAGACCCAACCTAGAACTCAGGTGATCCTGATGACACAGGTAAACCTCCAGGTGGCCTCAATGACTCTCTAAAACAGTGTTTCTCAACCTTGACCATTTTAAGGCATGTGGACTTCAACTCCCAGAATTCCACAGCCAGCATTGCTGGCTGTGGAATTCTGGGAGTTGAAGTCCACATGCCTTAAAATGGTCAAGGTTGAGAAACACTGCTCTAAAAGAATGCAAATGACCAGCTGTCTGCAAGGAGTATAAATCCTTCCATTCCCCACCATCCAGTCAGAGCTGAAGAAGCTTCTTGGAGGAGAAGTGAAACGTCTTCAAAGAAACACAAGAAAGTCCAGTTGCTTTGTGAAAAAGCATTTTTGGGACAACAATGACCTGGATGATTGAGAATCTCCATAGAAATCTAGAACTATGGAGAAGTTTCCTGACAGTGAGAACAATTAATCGAAGGAACGGCTGGCCTCCCGAAGTTGCAGGTGCTCCATCACTGATTCTTTCTAAAAAAGAGATTGGACAACCACTTGTCTGTAATGGTTTAGGGTCTCCTGCTTGAGCAGGGGGTTGGACTTGAAGACCTCCAAGATCCCTTCCAACTCTGTATTCTGTTAGTGTTCTGGGTGATAATGCGCATTGGAAGAATAAAGACTGTAACCATTATGACACATCCCAGTAGCCATTTTTTTAAAAAAGAAAAACCTCCCTTAATTACATCACCTTGTACGTAGGCAACACTTTGTGAAAGCGTTCAGCTTTGACTATGGAGAAAATGCTTATTTTTTAAAATCCATTCATGTCTTATTTTGCTTCCTTAGAGAAAAGGCCTTATTGAAAGAAAAGAGACGACACAGAGAAGAACTATTTAAGGAACAAAAGGTAATTTTGCATCTCATGTTCATAATTCTTTAGATTGTTTGAAATGCTAATTGTACTTATCATGCTTCGTTAAATATAAAAAGGTTCAGATGTGTTTACACCCTACCTAGGAATAAATTTCATTACAATTTATATTATATTTCACTGTAAGTTTGACTACATATACAGCCTCCTGATTTTGTGAGAATTTGTAACAGCATGTTGAAATTATTGAACAAGGATTTGTCTTAATGAAAAGCTATGTAAGTGTTGCTGTTGTACCTCCAAGTGTTCCAGTTACCATTTTAAAGTGGCCTTTCTTAATGTGCCCTCCAAATGAGCTGGACTTGATTGAGGATGATATGAGTTTTGTTCAGAATATCCAAAGAGAACCAGACTGCGCAAGGCCCTTTTAAGCAATGAAAATGACAAGAGAATATGCGCTGAATGCAGTAAATCATACAGAAGTGAACTGTTCTTAGGGATTTATTTCTCACCATGAAAACTTTATACTATCAGGATATGTGGCAGTTTGAAAAAGTAAACCCCTTGGTGCTATTATTACAATCTGAAAGTAGGTAATTCTGAGACAATAACAAGCAACTTATTACGCAGAGATTTTCAGCTCGCATCACAAGTGATCAAGGATTTTGGGAGTTATAGGTGGGAAATATCTGGAGGGTACTATGTTTCGGTACCATTTCAATATGTGCTTGATTTAATTATTACATTATTGTTATAATGTAACTATATTTTCATAAGATCTGTTGCCTTAAATTAACTAGATCTACAGTTTATAATTAACCAAAAATTATTATAGGACTAAGTTAATGTCTAGAAATAGTATTAACTGGAAAATTTTTATCTTCTCAGAAAAGAAAGCTGCTTCCTGAAAACGTCTTGGAGGAATTAGCATCCACACCCAAAAGGTAGACAAATATGTTCTGGGCTACATGTGACTATTCTAGGTTTTGAGCTACATTTTATCTTGGTCTGCAATCCTGAGAAATAGTTAATTCCATCATTTCTCTCAGGCTTCCATAAATGACAGTACTATGTGTTTATCAAATTGTATTACAGGTAGGCCTTGACTTATAATCATTCAATTTAGTGATTGTTCAAAGTTATAACGGCACTGAAAAAAGTGAGTTATAACTATTTTTCACACTTACAACTGTTGCGGCATTCCTATGGTCACATGATCAAAATTTGGACAGTGGCAACTATTTCCTATTTATGATGGTTGCAGTAACCTGGGGTCATGGGATCACCTTTTGTGATCCTTTGACAAGCAAAGTGAATGGGGAAGCCAGATTCACATATAAACTGTGTTACTAAACAACTGCAGAGATTCACTTAACTGTGGCAAGAAAAGTCGTAAAATGGGGCAAGACTCATTTTTTTGCTTAGCAATAGAAATTTTGGGCTCTATTGTGGTTGTAAGTCAAGGACCACCTATATAAGGCATTTGTGAAACTAAAAATAACTTGTGATGTAAGAAACAGCTTGAAATCTTTTTCTGTTAATGAGTCAAGTACTTGACTATTTTTATACCTACCTGAAAGAAATTATTTCCTCCAGTTCAAAAATTTCTGTCAATTTCTGAAAAGAAAGAGTGTGAGGAATTTACAATCTGTCATATGAAATTCATATGTTTTAGTTAGCTCAGTACTGATACTTTGCATGTAAATAACTTTTTATTAATAGATTATGAAATCTCTTTTCTTCCTTTAGCACAAATCAGACATCTGATGAGCAAGGTATGTATAAAAGTCTACTTTTTATGTTACCTCTACTGTGTTCTTTATCATATTGTGAATATAGTATAAAGTGTGTCTTAAGATCCATATTCCGTCTAATACAACAAGCTAAGTGTCAAATAGAGAAGCTGAGCAGAATGATTTGAAAAAATATAAAGTAATATTTAATACATGAAATAGATGAACACATAAAATACCTTGTCTCTGATGCCCGTACAGATGGCTTCTAAAAGGTTAGAATAATGATGTGAAAGCCTTAGTCAATAAGACAGTACCCTACATACAAAAATATTACTGTTCCTTAATATTGATCTGTAAATACTTCTATGCACTTTTTTTTAAATTTGGCAATTTTGTAATCCCATTCTGTTCAGATAAAAACCAAGTTGATTGTTAAGAACAATTTGCTATGGGACATCATGTAAATCTAGGTTAGCAGAGTTGTCTCCATGAGCAAGTGCAAGTGAAGGACTCTGGCTTTATCCTTGTAGAAGTCAAGAGGACAAATTTAAGCAAGAGTTTCTAGAATCCTGATTTGAAATTTGTTGAAATGTTACTTTCATATGGCCTTTAAATTCAGTACATATATTGATTTGTAGATCAGAATGTTGAAGATGAAGTTGAAAATCAAGAAGATTCAGAAAAAGACTCAAAAGAAGAAAGTTTGGCGGCAAGGTATGGCTTAGATTAGCCTTCCCAATTTTGGATACCCTCTGGATGTATATACCAAGTCTCTGAATTTCTTGACCCCAGGTTTAGCAAGCCTTGGTTGTTCTTATTTAGTATAATGAACTTTAATTATTAAGTAATTTCAAGAAAAGCTCACATCTTTGCAAAATCTGATTTCCTTATTGTTCCCTCATGTGGTTAGAATATATGAAATTTATTCTCAAATAAAAGCAGCATTCTCATTTAGGCAGTTGTAGATATACTTGTTCAAATTGCTGAGATGTCCTCTACTTTCATAATGTTCCAAATTAAATTACGTTAAGAAGAGAGGCCACTGTTAGTTAAAATCGAAGTCACTCTTACATTTAGCCTTTAGAATTACTTTGTTTTAGCTTCAAAAGGTTCCTATAGCTATAGAATTGATGTGGTGCATGGCAAAGAAGCCTGTATTATGGATGGTGGGGCTTTGTAATGAACTAGAGTAATTCTTAAATATTGTTATAATAAACATATTTGCCATTGCATATTATTTTGTTTGAAGCAGTTTTTTTGCAATAGTGTAAACCTGAAAGTCAATATCATGAAAATTATTGGCCTCAGATGCACCATTCCAACTGAGGTACCAGTTGTAGACAAAGGGCAAACTGTGTAAGTGGCACCACTGTATGTAAACTAAATATCTGAAATAACAAAACTCTTGATAAGCTTGAGTTTAGTTTTACTTCATGCTGCAACTAGCAATTCTTCAAATTAAACTGCTTAATCTGAACCTAAATGAGCCATATCTACCTACCGGTACCTACTATTCTTACTTTATTGTAAACCTGCCCAAAGTCTTGGGAGTTGGAACAGTCCTGCCCAGAATCATGAGAGTGAGGGAGTATAACCATGTAAATACATAAATAATTGAAATATATTTAGATGTTACTTTGTTTGCATGTTATTGCTTTATTTGGTCAATAGGGCAAAAAAATAGGGAATGTGGTTTTGCTTCTGTAAAATGAAGTAAAAAACCAAGGCAGTAAATATGTTAACTGTTTCTTTATCATTAGATGCCCCCCAAATTATATGGCTGTACGGTTAAAAGACCAGGAGCTAACCAATCAACAGCAACAGGAAGCCAAAGACTTTATACAAAGACAGCTTTATGGAGCAAGCTGCAATCGAACTACTGGTAAAGGAGCTTTGCATAATGCACTTACAAAATATACTGATTGTGTGACAATTATAATTCAGTTACATCCCTCTTGTTATTCCAGCAAATCAATATTTTTCTGTTGAAAGCAAGAAGAAACCAGTTAAAAAAGCTGCGATCCAGTTTGTGAATAAATCTTGGGGTAAGATGATATTCCTTTGTTTGTCTTATAGCAACAATTGAAAAGAGCTTTTGTAGTGATTGTGCTTTTATCGACTTCAGTATTTTAATCTCAGGTTTTGCATTGTACGCCCCTTTTTCTTTTAACTGAGGAACATATACTAAAAGTGAAAATCTGGTCCAAAATAACTGCTCTAGTCATTTTGAAGGATTTCTATCAAAATGGTAATTTTCCACATACCCCCACATATGAAAAACAAAAATACAGTCAAGTATAACACAAGCACAAGTAGCATGAGAGACATTGATACCCTTGGAATATGATTAAGAAGCTTGAATGTGAAATTGAACGATAAAGCTGTCCATGTAATTTAAGATTTGTTTACTTCTGAGCATATTCAAGATGTCTTACCATTCAAAGCACCTGTGGTCTTGAACAGGCACATGTGACAGCACATATAGTCAATTTTAGTTCATTTTAAAAAGCAAACGGGGTCCGACCTGGTAACAGTTGGAGTCGAGACCATCAGGAGATTCCAGGATTGTAGGCTCCCATGGAAAGTGAAAGGGGAAAAAAATGCATAAGGTAGCAGATGTCAAACTGCTTCAGTATTTTTTCCAGGAAGATGAAATAGATGTGCTTATTTGAGAATTGTAATTTATATATAAGGCCATGTGAGTTTGTGAAGGGTCTAAGACCTGAATGAAAACCTTTGTAGTTTGCAAATCCTGTAAAGGCTTCCTAGGAACAATACACATTTTTGTATTTATTCCTATAAGATTGGAGAGTGAGTTCTGATATTAGTAGTTATCCGATTCATCGCCTAGATACCAGGTGAGGAATAAAAGAGGCAAGGTACTTTGTCTCTCTGGGCTACCAAATCGATGACATTACAGAAAGGTACAGGAAACAATCTCAAATTCTAGAGATGGAAGGAAGACTTTTCCCCCCCTTTCTGCTTGATTACCATGACATGAGCATAATGGCAATCCCAACCAAATTGTTCACGAATACTGTATATGCGGTAGACGTATAGTTTTAGTTGTTTTTTATCGATTCTGTTGAGAGTGAATGGAAAATGTTTTCTTAAATGGGACTGCTCAGTCAGTGAATCCAAGCTTTTATGGAACCTACAGCAACAATTTTACTATTATTGAATTCTGTTTTCAACTAATTGTTTGTTTTCTTGTTCCTAGGTAAAGTAAAAAAAGAAAAAGCTACTCGGTTTACAAAACATTGGGTATCTTCAAAAATAATTCCCTGAAATATTTTGCTGTTGCTTATGTACAATATCACTGCAAAATGTCTTGTATTTGAATTATATAATGTCCTTGCTATTGTTTTATATATTGTTAACATTTTTATGATTTCTGTTTTCATTTAAGGAGAATTAAAAAGGATAACCTAAATTAGGATCTTGCAATGTATGATCCAACTAAAAGTAATTTTATCTGGGTCTTTTGAACTCAAGTTACACTTTTGATTGAATGAGAGATTGGTTTCTTAAATATTTTTGATACTCTTTTTCCTAAAGCACTTTTTAACATTGCCTCTCCTACATTCGTAAATTGACTTACTAATGTACCCAGGGCATCTTTTTGGAAGTACATTTCAGTTGTAAAAAGAAGATATATCTTGAAATAATGTGTATATAGGTTTGCAAATATGGGAAATATTACACAAAACATTGAATCTAGTTTTCCTGAAAATAATTCCCATGGAATTGGTAAATGTTCCAACAAGTAGGCTTTCTAGGTGCCTATGGGAACCAGAAGCAAGATGTGAGTCAGTAGGAATTCCTAATTCATTAACTGCCTGTCCCTATGGCTCACTTACTAGGAGGAGAGGCATAGCCAAATGGTCCAATGCAAGAAGTCAGCAGAGAATACTTACAATAGGCAATGGTATAGTTATAATCCAGTCCTGATTTTTTTTAGGAGTCAACACCAACAGCAAAGCAGGTCCAAAGGATTTATAGAACGCTACGCCAGAGCAAAAATCAGGTTGACAGGGAATTTATTTCATGTTTGGCTCCTTTCCAGTAAAAAAAAATTAAAACTTGGAACCTGATGTCCTTCATCTGAATGATTTTTATACTGATCAGAACTAACTGTAGAAATTGAGCTATTCAGGAGGAGGTTCCCAGTATGTTAAGCAGACCACTATTCTTAAGATGTTAAGTAATTGGGCAAGCCCTTTTTTCTTCGCCCTTTGTCTCTTGATGGGGTAATCCCATAGTTCTTGTAGCCCAGATCTACGAATCGATCTGAATCCTGGTTAGAATTAGGTAATGGAAGGTGGCTCCACTAAGATCTCAGTATTATTCCCTGATGTCACTGGATTATATTAATTTGGCTTTTTATACTCAAATTCTGTTCTCCCTATTCCTCCAAGGGAATTGGGATAACAGCTGGCATTATATGTCAAGTCATTGCTGACTCTTAGCAACCATATAAATTTTATCTGCCCCTAACCTGATGCTTCAAATCTTTCAGCAGTGGTATGTATATTCATTGCACTGTGTCTGGATCCATCCTTTTTCATCCACCTTTCTAATATTAGATCCTTGTCCAGAGTGCTGTCTTATGCCCAGAGTAGGATCACTAGAGTCTGTTCATTGGCAGCTCAAGTGAGAACTCTGGGTTGATTTCGTTTATGTGATTTATTTTTTGGCTGTCCATAGTATTCTCAAGAGCAGCGGTTCTCAACCTATGGGTCGCGACCCCATTTGGGGTCGATCGACCATTTCACGGGGGTCGCCAAGCAAGGCTGCCCGCCATTTTTTTCCCCTTTTCCGGCGGGTGCCTTACCTCCCTTGGGCTGGGCCAGCTGGTGGTCGGCCTGCTCCGTCTCTGCCGCTTGCCAGCTATGCCTCAGCCGGCGCAGGGGGCGGAACCACGCATGCGCGGCTCTCCCGAGGGAAAGTCCTCGACTTACGACCGGTTGGGTAGTCCTCGACTTACGACCGGTTTAGTCCTCGACTTACGACCGGTTGGGGGTCGCGGCATTAAAAAGGTTGAGAACCACTGCTCAAGAGTCTTCAACAACCAAAATTCAAAAGCGTCAATACTCTTCCTATCCAACTTTTCAAAGTTCAAAGATACATAATCAGGAAGCTAACTTGTATTAAATCTAGTGGTTATTGTATTCAGAGCTGATCACATCACCCCTTCAAATTTGGAGACTCAATGGATTGACTTTGCAGAAGCTGAAACTCTGTAGAGCTTTACATCTATAGCAGGGGTAGTCAACCTTGGCTCTTTTATGACTCGTGGACTTCAACTCCCAGAATTCCTGAGCCAGCTAAGCTGGCTCAGGAATTCTGGGAATTGAAGTCCACGAGTCATAAAAGAGCCAAGGTTGACTACCCCTGATCTATAGCTATAACGAAGGGGTAGGCTGAGTAACAAAATNCTCTGTAGAGCTTTACATCTATAGCAGGGGTAGTCAACCTTGGCTCTTTTATGACTCGTGGACTTCAACTCCCAGAATTCCTGAGCCAGCTAAGCTGGCTCAGGAATTCTGGGAATTGAAGTCCACGAGTCATAAAAGAGCCAAGGTTGACTACCCCTGATCTATAGCTATAACGAAGGGGTAGGCTGAGTAACAAAATGGGATGTGATACTGATAATGATAGCCAGCCAATCTTCGCCTTGCAAATTCTGCCTATCACAGCCTTGGGAAAGTACTGCTCTGCTACTAATGTTGCACTTTTCATCAGATTTTTTTTTTAAATTTGCTTGGAAGACATACAAGACTGACACTATTCTTTTCATTCTATGAATAGACCTGAGCTAGTATGCTGATAAATTGCTGCAAATGGTATACCTTCTTTACAAAATAGAGCATAATATAGGTCAGTGTTTCTCAACCTTGACAATTTTAAGGCATGTGGACTTCAACTCCCAGAATTCCACAGCCAGCAATGCTGGCTGTGGAACTCTGGGAGTTGAAGTCCACATGCCTTAAAATTGTCAAGGTTGAGAAACACTGATATAGGTAAAACTATCGTGCTCAAGTGGGGCATAATCCAAAATTGTCAGGAGGAGCTAATGTTGCCTACGAGCCAAGAAATCTGTCAAGTCAGAAAAGCAAATGGTTAAGAGCATGGTACAGTGAGAGCAAAAGGCTTACCAAACAAAAGCATCAACAGTTTTTTATGAAGTTGGACCATCTTTGCCCAATATAAGTTCTTTACTTGATAATTCAGGAATGTTTCCTTGCCACTGCATTAAGAGGAACAGGTAGATTATTTCAAGATCTATTCTGGTGAAAGCATAAAAGTTTTCCTGGCTTAATATCTGAAGGAACTACTATCCCTACTATTTTCATTCTCTTCAGACAAAAATAATGAAGCAAATACCTGCATTTTGATTCTTTCCTATTATAGGATAATGTCACATCTTGTATAATGTCCTAATGTTGCTACCATTAATGTCAAATATGAAACAAATATTAGCTCATATGTAGACCCCCTGCTGCACAGAATATAGGATAAGTATAGGGCAGGACCTATGAGAATCACCTTTTGGCTATCCATTGCCTTCACTTGTTGACACTTGGTATAGGTAAACATTCTGCTAACCACTTACACAACTATTTCTGCTTTTATATCAGCTATATATACTTATAAAAAGCAAAAAAACTGCAATAATTCAGGGCAGTTAATTTTGTTTCATCAGCCTTAGGTCATAACATAATTTTAGTCCAGGATAGTCACTTGACATAGCAATAATATTTAAAAGGTGAAAGATTTATATGATCTGAAGAGAAACCAGAGTATTTAAATATTTAAATTTAAATATTTAAATTTTATCTACTTGAATCCAAAATACAACGCAAGCAGAAAAATAAGGTAGCAATCCTACCATATGTAAGTATTTAATGGCTGATTAATTATGGTATCACTACATTTTATTGCAATAGAGTACTCATTTAAGCACTTTTTAAAATGCAGGGTGTACAAAGATTAAATTAAGACTGAAATTGACTAAATATTTGGTTTTTATATAAATAGGCCATAACCACACTGTGTTGACATGTAATACTGTTATAATACAACAGTTAAACAGGTGAGTCTACAAAATAAGTTGTTTGCAGTTAAACAGGAAACAGAGCTGAAACGATCATGTTAAAACAAAAACCACTAGGAAACAGGTTGAGATTGTAAGTAGCAACAAACATATTCACTCAGCTCCTGAGTATTTCAAGTTTTACAGTACACATTAAAAATATTTCTTCCCATCAATACTATACAGCCAAACTGTCAGGTACATATGCAGTTTGCAAATTACATTGATTGATCTATGTAATGAGGGTGAAAGTTGGCAAATTATCCTGCTTGAAGTTTACATCACCCACGTACTAACACATCCACAACATTATCTATTTTGCTCTGCCCTCTAGGAAGGCAGAACTTTTTGGTTTGTTTGTAACAATTCAAAGGTTTTTCAATCTGATGTTACTGATGGTATTTAACTCTGGTTAAAGATGGAAAATATCTCCTAACAGTAATTTAGAAAATCATTTGCATCATGCTGTAAACTAGGAAGCAATGTAAAGCAACAGACCTGTCCTTAGTACATAATTAAAAAAATCCAAACTCCAATTGGCAGAGTTGGTCTACTTTCGTGTTGAATATATGCCACATTATACACCTTTGACATCTTCATATGCATAGCTAGTGTAGATAATCTTCCACTGTGGCAAATGCACAGGATCCAATTCCTGATCGGGCCATCAGACCTAGACACTGTGAAGCCTGTCCCATTGCGAGAGCAAGAGGAGGTTGCTTTGGTAGATTGTGTGTCTCTGAAAAAATTCAACAATGCACTATTTTAACTTGTTTTATTTCTCAAAAAATTAGTACACTAATATTTCTACCCAACTCAAATAACTTATTTTCAAAATTACTGAATGGAATGTTAATTCCAAACTAAGTAGTAGTTTAATTCACTGTGCAGACCATATCAAATCATAAAATGTTAATGCCTCCAATATTTAGTGAATGTTAATAAACCCTTGATAGAAAGTTCTGATGTTCGTGAAAGAGTATGCCCATTTGTATCCTCTCAACTAGTAAATGCAAAGGTGGTCAGCCTGGGTGACACAGTACCTGAATTTCAAGACTGCTTATGGAATGATACCAATTATTTTGGGTGTAATACAGCAATCCTTAGTTTCTAAGTCAGTAGCTGAAATGCCATTATATTTCATATTTCCCTATGACCAGAGGAGTGAAAAAGAAGTTAAGGGTGGGCTAGAGTAGGGGAGAGAGTGAAATGGCTCTCCTATCCTGGCTACTTACAAGCCTCTGAATAAAATTGCTTGTTTGTAGATGGTACATCATGAGTTTGATAATAAATGGCAGTCTCAATGGTTTACGGTACATTTATTTTCTTATAGTCATTCCTCTAAAAAAGTATCAGAAATTCCAGAATTTCCTTCAATAATCAAGTAATTGTGCTTGTTCTGTGCTTAATGTACCTTAACAAGTTTGTATGAAGAAGGAAACTAACAGACTTACCTAGTATTGCACTGTTGAGAACTGAACATACAGGCTCTCTCTGAATAGGATCCAACTGATTTCCAACTGGACTATTCCACGGATCAGAATATGCAAGTAAACTGAACGCATCCTGTTGAGAAAACAAATCTTAGACATTAGTGGCTGGATAGCCATTTATTCTGGAAGCTTCAACTTAGATTACTGCATAAAGCAGGAGAATAGACTTCATGACTTAAATGAGCCCTTCTGTCTATGATTGTATGAATTGTGTCATGACATTTACGTTGTTCTTCCTACTGAAATAAACTAAGACTATTTTCAGTATTACTTTTTACCTTACTCAGATCAAATTTAAATCCCTCACTGGATGCATCGTAATATTTCCCAAAATGTACATTTGAACTATTTTTACCCACTCCCTTTAATATCCTCAACAGATGTCACTTCTGTGTAATAATAATAGTTTCTAGTATTAAACCTCAATAAAGACTGAGAATGTGCTAGTTAAGAATAAAAAGAAGGCAAATATTTAATTTCCTGCAACCGATCCTAATAGGACAACCGCATTCCCTTCAATACAATTCAGTCTTCCCGTCACGCAAAAGGAAAAGCCAACACAATCTCATGCTATCTACATTTTAAGTACCAAGAGAATTAACTTAGCTCAGTGTTGAACTGTGGAGACTTTGCGCTCTCTGCGCTTGGTTGTTTAACTGTAGACATTTCATTACCCAAGAAGGTAGAATCATCAGTATGAGGAAGTATGGGGTTTGCTCTCTGTTTATATAGCTTGCCTTGCCAGTTTTAGTGTGTGTGTGTGGGGGAAGTAGTTTTCTCCTCGGTAATTCCTTGATTTCTGCTTGATTGTTTCCCTTAAACTAATCCTTCTTTATCTGAATATTGGCTGCTGGAGAGGATATGTTTTGGTCTTTTTGTTTCCTTCCTAGTGTTTTTTATTGTGTCTTTTGAATAGCATGTAAACATGGTTTATTTCTATGGGTCTACTGATGGCTGATTTGTCTGAATGCCAGGCTTCCAGATATCCCTAACATTTCTGGATTTGGTTTGGTCTAGGATTGAGAAGAGACAATAAAAAAGCTAAGGAGGAAACAAAAAGACCAGAACACATCCTCTCTAGCAGCCAAACACCCAGATAAACATGGATAAACACCAATCAAGCAAAATATGGTATCCTAATCTAGGAACTACTGAGAAGAAAGCCACATCCCCATCAAAACTGGAAGGAAAAGTTACTATATTTAAGTAGGGAGCAAACCCCATACTTAACTCGTATTGATGATGTTACCTAGTTGGCTAATGAAATGTCTGCAAGCAAACAACAATTTCCCTCTATTATACATCCCCTTACATTGTATAAATGGAGTAAAATCTAAACCTACCATATTATTAGCAATTTCTATACAAAGGTGACATGACTTACTTTGAGCATTTTCTTGTTGGCTGAGTTTTTGCCACACTCCCTTCTTAGTTGTTCGCTCATAGCTTGTAATTCTCTGCCAAAGTGAATCATTCTTTCAATAGCTGCTTGGCTACCACCACACAGTTGGCGTCTTAACTGACTGGAATCCACCTCTAAGAATAACAAGGTGGTAATTAGATAATGATGAAACAATGCAGGTATGGGACATGTTAAAATTTAAATCAGTATTTATATATGTAGCTTATAAAGTATTCGTATGATTGCTATAAATGATGATAACAATGATTCCTGCTTATTTTTTTTCTCTCTCTCTCTAACTAACCAGCCATCTCAGACAGTTAAAAGAGTTGCATGAGAAGTCCCCACTAACTGTATCCCCACAATGTAAATTAGTCTGGGTGACAGGTCTAAAAACATTCAGAGAGTTTGAGCTTCAGCTAGGGATTTGTCTGTGTCCCCCTAGTCCAAGTCCAATACCTTCACCACTCTGCTACACTACCTTCACAGGACACTTGCATGATATACCAACTGCAAAAATTTCAAGGGCACAAATGCCCAGGGAAAATATAGTTTTTACTGCTTTTCTGAAATCACCAAGGAATACAAAACTAACCAATACTTTGAAAAAAAAAGTTCTGCGAAGCTGAGACTAAAGCCAAAAGCTGTGGCAATCTGAAGATCCTCCGCTTCTCTGGAATATACATGCCTGAAATTATTTTTGTGGTTTGGGGAGAGGAGAAGAGGTTAAGGAATAAAATAGCTTCTTTGAACCCTAACAAAAGCTTATGATATTAATTCTATCCCTTTATAAAGAGAATCAGGGCAATTTTGAAAATCCTTCAGACAAAGAAAACCACAATTGTAAGCCTTTTATTAGGCTCATTTCAGTCCTTGTATGAGAATTGCACATGACCTTTTTGTAGGTTGCAAATGTTGCTCTACAACAGTGTTTCTCAACCTTGACAATTTTAAGGCATGTGGACTTCAACTCACAGAATTCCACAGCCAGCAATGCTGGCTGTGGAATTCTGGGAGTTGAAGTCCACATGCCTTAAAATTGTCAAGGTTGAGAAACACTGCTCTACAATATAGTCTCTGAGTATCTAAATGTCTGTTTCTATATACAGCTTTGTACTATATCCCAACTCTTGACCTCTGAAAATTTAACTGATTAGTCACAGAATTATTTTCTGATATTTCTACAGATTAGGCTGTTTTGTATATCAAATAGTAAGACAAAACATACAAAGAATTTAGGCAGTCACCAAAACTACTAAAATCCTACCTGCACATTATCCTGTTCTGTGGACTATAATAGTTCATTTTCTAAAACATTTGTAGAGGGTGTACTGTAGCATCGTTCAGTCTGGTATTTTTTTTTATCTCACATCAGCCATTTGCCAAGAAAATCATGTGGCAGATGCCAAGGCATGCTATTCAACACGGAATAATCAAATGATGGCACGAAGAAGCATACTGAGTAGCATCAAATTACTAAGCACATTGGAGTCTCCATTTTGAGCCCTTGCCTAATCAAATACAACACAAATGGAGCTTATCCCCATTTTAATAGTTTGATCCCATCAATATTCTGTAGCATAGCTGAGCCAGGTAAGGTATCCAACAAAAATAATACTGATTCAAAAAATTGAGATACTAAATATTTATGATGTATTCAGGTGTTTTAGACCTATTCTCATCAGTACGAAGAACATGGACAAAACATGTATCTGGGGGACACCATGTTGTATGTATGAGGTATACTTTGCATAAAATATTTTCATGACAATGTTAAATATATAAACTGACACAAGAATTAAATGTCTTTATCGTTTGGAAATCTTTTCAAATAACAGTAATAAAAAACAATCCTTGCAAAGATAAGATAGGTAAAAAAAAATAATTGCAGACCCATTTCTGTGTCACATTCTTCCATTTCATGATCATGTTTAGAACTACCATTTAAAAAACCATTAGATGATGTCTCTGCAATTCCATTAGAGTAGTGATCTGTTTCCATGTCTACATCATTGCTGTGAACAAAGTAATGGATCATTTTTAGAATTAGATCTCATTTATAAATAGTCACACTGTAATCTACAAGCTAGATGTAGCAGCGTACCACCATTATTTTACTATATATCCACAATACAATTAAATTCTGTTTTAGGCAGATAGTGTAGCCCATGGACGGGGAATCTGCTGCCTCCAGGTTTTGCTGAGCTATAGCTCCCAGCATCCTGCAGTTCTTGATTCTTTCACCACCCTAACCGAGCCTATGCTAGGGTAAGAGAGCCCTTTTCTTACCCTGTGCCAAGATAAGAGAGTCAACATGGAAAAAACAGACTCCCTTACAGCTCAACATGGTGTTAAATGCATTCCCAAAAAGTCCTAAAAATGATAATTTTTGATGACCAAAGGCAGGACAAGAAGCAATGGCTGGAAACTAATCAAAGAGAGAAGCAAGCTAGAACTAAGGAGAAATTTCCTGACAGTTAGAACAATTAACCAGTGGAACAACCTGCCTCCAGAAGCTGTGAATGCTCCAAAACTGGAAGTTTTTAAGAAGAGACTGGACAACCATTTGTCTGAAATGGTGTAGGGTTCCTGCCTGAGCAGGGGGTTGGACTAGAAGACCTCCAAGGTCCCTTCCAACTCTATTATTATTGTTGTTGTTGTTGTTGTTAAATATACAAAATAGGCCTAGCTCTAAATTTTAGGGAGATCAAATCAAGCCATGGGCTTTCTTGCTGCTCTCCTTTGCAATCTGGAAGTTGGCAGGCAGGCAACCTACTCATGCATGATGGGGGTTGGAGTTCTTTTCATAATACTTAACCTATTAACATTATCATATGTTGTCCTTGACATACACAAGAATTGATACTGAGCTACTATCAACCCATTTCTCAGTGGCAGCCCATTTCCCTCTCACTAGAGTGATACAGGAATACTGGAGTGTGGGTGAGGAGAACAAGGGAAGAGTGGAATAGAGTACAATAAAGGGGGAAAAAACACAACAGGTAAGTGAAAAAAAATAGAACTAGACAGAATTACATTTATGTACCTGGAATAGTTGTTGATCTGTTGTGATCTTGTTACATTTATATTATTGAGTTCTGGTACATTTAAACTGGTAGACTGATGTTTACTGTGACAATATGACTGATGAACTTTGTTTGATATCACTCCATTACTGCAACTATTTTCAAAACCTAAAAAAAAAAGGTGAAGGAATCAAATAATGATTTGAATTAATAGAATGTGTTCTTACTTGATTACAGTATATGTAACTCATGTAGTTTGCACACATTAACTAATATAAGCTACATGGACATGCCTATACTATAATCACATAAGAATACATCTTATGCATCAATATAGAAGTTAAGCTAATTTAAAATAAATCCTGATTCTTGCCTCAAAATACTTAGCAACCAATCCTGCTCAGAGGATAGTTCTCTCCCAGAATGCAGTACCATAAACAGCCTGTGTGGACAAACATGGTGTCAGAAGTACAGAGGAAACTTCCCTTCTTACTACTAGGTACACGTCATGACAAGAGCTTCCAAGTGATCTTTATTCTCACAAAGGCGGCATTGGTAGCAGCTATAGCAGTTTGTTGAGTATGTCTTCTTTCTCTTTTTCCTCCTGCCCCATTTCTGATTTTTTTTTTCAAATTTGCGGAATATCAATTAATTTTTATTAAATATTGTTGAAAACAAATGACGTCACACAAAGAAAGAACTCCTCTAAACTAGGTCATATTGTGGAAACTGTTGATAAAAGTGCAACCTGCAGCGAGGACAAAGTATTATAAAACAGCTGGTAACCCATGAAGTAGATACTGGCAAAAAAGGGTCAGTTTCTCCTATTCAACAATCCAGGCCAGGATGCACAACACAAACTATTCCATATGCTAAATGGCAAATGAGCCTAAATTCTGAAGATAAGGAAGTGGCATGTCGTCTTCTTCCTCCCGCCAAACTCACCAGTACAGTGCGTGCTACTTCCTTTGCCCGTTGATAGACTATGGATATTCATTCCATGGCTGGGGCTCATACTAGGACTACTAAATGATCGTGGACTAACAGGATAGCTATCTTGAGATTTTGGACTGTGACCTCCTAGACATCGTACTTCACTGTCTGTACCATTGACCATTTCTATAAACTGTCGTACCCTGGAAAACACGAAGAGAAGTTATTTGTGAAAATTAAACAATAATTTTAAAAACCAAGCTTCTAGTGTTAGCACTAAAGATATGTACAACGGGGGTTTACTGCTATTTTATACAAATAATAGCCAATTGTGCATCTAATTAGACGTGTCTAAATTGATGTATTAAAATAATGAAATAGTAAAGGAAGAAGTCTTCTTCCTCTCTCATAGAAGTTTGTACATTAGAGAATTAAGCGACAACAACATGCATATCCAAAAATAAGTTCCATTCAATCAAATCAGTTTTGCTTGTTGGGTGAGTAGCTATTACAAGGAGATTCTAGGCTTACCTTTTCACCGCTAGGGATTTTTTAAAAAAAAAAACATTTTGACAACAAAAAAGTCTAGAAATGGTGGGACACAACTCTGTAGGTGAAACAATGAATTGCGACACTGACGTTATCTGCGAGCAATAGACATGCAGAAATTAAGACTCAAATAAATGAATGATTATTGGCACCCTTCACAAATACTGGGTGCAAGGAGATTCTATCTTCATTGAATGATCTATTGTAGAATCAACGTAATCAGAAATGTTATGTTTAATCTAGTTTTTTTAATTGTTTTAATCCTGTTTTTAATTCTCATAATTTTTAATTTTGGGATTAAACAATAAGGAAAAGTTTGGAGCCATTATTTTATTATTCATTCAGTGAACATAACGACATAAATTCCCAGATGATCAGTAAAGTAATTTATTTCTATAGGAGCTTGAAAACCATAAAATGGACATATTCCATATTCCCCCAGACTAGGCAGCTATTTATTTACAAATATCTGCTTTACACAAAGACTCACTTCAAAGCAAATAAAAGATTAGGATTTCTTTCTAATAGACTTGGATACAACTGCTGTGTTGTTTCAATGGCCTCTCCCATTCTTCCTGCTAGCACCAGTTTCTGAATTCCTGTTAACAGAAACAAAAACACAAGTTTAAAAATGTACATTTCAGGACCAGTTTAAGCAACAATTGAATACTTTGGGATCTCTCCTCGTCAGTCTTGGTAAGAGTCTGTATTTCTTTCTTTGTTATGACACTATTGATACCTTGGGTGCCACAAATCTCTTTCTAATCATGTGTTACTAAAATTGATGAATTACATATAACTTTGATCAAATGACTAGGATCTAAAGTTAATAATTAAACTAAAAGGATTCAGACAATTGTTTATTTTTAATCTGCTTTAGTTCTAATGCACTGTGTCAAAATATATATAAAATATTCAAGATAGCTTTGGGCACAATTATAAGCTATATTTTATTAGTATCTTAACAATGTATATAGACTGTTTTAAACTGCAAATTGATATTTAACTAATAATAAAGCGTTTAAGCATTACTTCATTGGAAGTGTACTACATATTATTGGGTTTTTTATCAGTTTGTTTATTCAGCTGTTTTTATAAACACATAATATAAATGTAAAAAAATGAAATTAAGTAAATAACCATTATTTTTATTAGGTAACAAGCCAATCAATTTTTTTGTGCATAATCAATTTCTGGCAAAACAAACTTATCATGTTTCTATTGATTATTCAGATATATAAAACAGTGATGAATGAAATATAATATTTGAAATCCAAAGGCCACTTAAGAAGAAGCATTTCTAAATCTGAATATTTAAATTCTTTTAGACTTAACAACACAGCACTATTCAAGCTTACTTTGTCTATTTTTAATGGAAGCTAATTCTTCTAGTACAGTCTGGTCAGTAGATCTAGCAAATGCTTCTGCTGTTGCACAGTATCCATGATGTACCAAATAAGATGAAACCATTCTGTAAAAGAAAGTTAATACAAAATATAGCATGGAGGCAGCTTTACCATTAGGCAATTTATTTACAAGTATCTCTTTTCCTTGAAGATTCACTTCAATACAAACTTTTTATTAGTAGGTTAGGTAAATTTACTCTGAATAAAAATGCTACATTTATTCTAATATACACTGTTAAAAATAAAATATATTATAAAATATAATGATATAAATAAGAATATAATGATATGTATTTACAAGTTATATATATTTAACTTTTCTCAATTTAAAATTGGATACATATGTATATTTAAATACATATGTACATTCAGTTCATTACCAGTTGGAACCAGTGGTGGGATTCAGCCGGTTCGCACCAATTCGGCAGAACCGGTAGCTAATTTTTTGTTGCCCAGGCCAAGAATGGACTTCCAGAAGCTGCATCCACACAGAGAACCGGTTGTTCACATATTTGAATCCCACCATTGGCTGGAACCTAATACTTTAAACAGAACATTCAAGAGTGCCAAAGATAACAAAGACTATCAAAATGGAATTACACACAATGGAGAAATCGTTTAGCATGGTGAGAGATGTGGTAGAAGCAGTAACATAGTGATGTGTAACACATGTAATAACGTGCATGCAAAGAGCATCTTTGTCCTGGACAAAGTAGTTTTGGATATTAAAGAGGAAAGTTTATCTGTATTCTCTATCCATCAAATTTATCCAAGTGTGTCCACATGACTGGTGATTCAAAAACATTAATTACAAATGGCTTTAAAATGAAAAGCAGCAACAGTAGGTAAATGGCATGTGTTAATTTAGCTTTCACTGAAAAAATATACATAATTTTCCATCCTCAATCAAGCAGAATCAAACCTGGAATATACTGCTCATAAAATAATTAAGAGAAAATAATTCTACTCATCTTCCCATCAAATTACTAGAACAGTATTTTCTTAATCCACTTCAGTGCTGACAATTCACAATAACATGAAATACCCTATCATGATTGTGAAGAATCCATAATGACAGGATTGTCAAACAGGGTTCTCTGCTTAATTTCCATGGTATGGTATGAATTAAGGCATGTACAGCTGGAATTAGTGATTAGTTCTAAATCAAGAATATGCTAATTATCCTCTCCGAGTACATGCTGCATACTCTATTGAAAATATCAATATGAAGCATGCAAAGCTTAAAAGAGCAGCAATTAAATTAAAATGATTTTGCCAACTACATTTGCATTTTATAGATCACTTTTAAACTTGAAATTAGTGCGCACACAATAATTCTAACATTTTCAAGCACAAAAATGATTTAAGATGTTCTCATAAAATAGACCTTTTAAATTAGATGCATTATGTAGAACAAGTTTGGACCAGAAATCAATGCAGCCACCACCAAGTTACAGTAATCAGATAATGAGAGTTGTGCAATGCTTCAGATATGAAAGATGGGAAAAATGTTTTGCAAGGAGTATGTATGCATGTGTGTACATACACACACGTGTGTATGTGAGATGTACCATCTGTCTAAAACTCTTTAAAACAACAATGTCTTTTTTCCAGGCTCACATGGCTGCCCTCACAGCATCCCTGGAAAAATATTTTAAAAACTCCATAGTATCCTTTTCCCTTCAAATCCAAAGTGCTGCACAGCCCTACCACATACAAAAAAAGGGTTAACATTTATTGAAAGGAGTTAAATGCATGGTTTTTACATGGAGATAAACTACATCAGATAAAATTACCCTCTCAGGAATCAAAATTGTATTTGCATGTCTTATTTCACTGCACAAATGTACAAGAAATACAGAACAAGATTTGTAGGACCGAAACAGACCAGTTTTAAAATCTCCCAAATTTGAATAGGAATTTAAACAGACACTCATTATAATCTTCAAATCATACTTTTGGATCATCGTCTGCCATTCTCCTTCCCGATCTCCTATAGGGAATCTGTCAATCTGAGCCTGCGTTTTGGTTCTCCATTCGCGCATATAATCTTCAATGTCAAATACAAATGGATGTTGTCCAAAATTAGCATCCACTACTTCTCCAGGTGTTTGAAGTCCAACTGTGGGGTATAGATTTGGCTGCAAGAGATAATTACAATATACAATGTAATCGTACAAAACACAAATAATTTGAAATTAGCATTAAAACCACATAATTAAGCTAATAATTTTTGCATGCTCCACCAACAGAAAAAATAATTGAGTAGTTAATGTTTGAGTTTCAAGGCTATTTAAGAAATCCTCAGGAGGAAAAATTTCACTCAGTGAAACTTGCAGAGTTCTTGCCAATCAGGACAGGCAATACGAGACTTGATAATCTTATGAACTGAATGATCTAGGTTTTAAGAAGTCTGAAGTAGGCCTGTGTCACCAAGAATAAAACAATTATAAAAACAAAAAACAATTGTTGTAATGAACATGTTGATAAAACAAACACTCTTAAATAACGTATTGCTTTTTGGGGGGGATCTTTTGGGGGGGTTAATATGATGGGCAATGTTTTTCAAATCTACCAGAACAAAAAACTTAAAATCAATACGTTCTCATAACGTGATGTAGATGTTATAGCACCATTTCTCAACCTGGCTGTCCTCTAAAAGTGGGCACTTTGCATAATGAATAGCAATATTAGTGCTGAGAATTCGAGAAATAGAAGTCCATCCATCTTGAGGGAATTCAGACTGGGGAAGGCCAGAACTGGTATTAATCTAGTGCAATACTTTTACCTTATTACTGTGCATAAAATCTAGCCATTCCTGTTGTCAGTGCTTCTTTTTATATGTATGAATATGCCAGAAACCTAATCAGAGACCTTCTATATGCAATGGATGTGCTCTACTGCTAAACTTAAAATTCTACATTTGCAAATCCTCCAGATAAAGCATCAAAAGTTAGAAATACGTAACTCCAAACGGTAATCATAATCCCTTAGAATCTTCTGCCATTATTATAAACAAATGCTTATTAAGTAATTTTGATATTTTTAAAATGCACTTTGCTCTTATAATTTTTTTTAAAACAGAACTAACTGAAAAATGCATGTTTACACATGTAAGCAAGGAAAATACTCTTTGGGCACAGATATTTTATACTTCAATACAATAATCTTACCGGCAAGTCTGTAAAAGCAATACCTGTAATCAAGAAATATTTAATTAAAATCTGAGCTGTCACAGTCAACACAAGTCATGCTTTAATGCTCTTGTAGTTAAAATACATCTCTACACGAGAGAAAATATAAACAGCTATTCACTTCTTTTTGCTAGAAAATAAATTTATACAGGCAAGACATCCAATAGTAACCACATTTACATTATTTATATAATTATATTTGAAGAAGGCCAGAAAGCACAGGATTGTCAAAGTATTTATCAAGCACCAATTTACCAAGTAAAATTTTTATTTTCAGCTTCAAGAAAAGCTATTTGAAAAGCTACTTTTTTAGTTTACTCATATGCAGTTTTTTTTCTTAAAAAAAAAAAAAAAAAAGGTGCCGGAACTCACACACGTCATACAACCCGCCTTGCCTACCCTACAAGCTTCCATCCCAAAAAAGGTGCCGGAACTCCGTTCTGGGCATTCTATGAGAAAAAAAGCCCTCCTCATATGAATCATACTCCCATCATTGTGTATCTAACTGCAAAGGATTACCATTCTTTACTTGCTTGTTTGTTTATCAAATTGGAATGACCACCACTTTTGCAAAGAAACATACTCTGGGCAGCATACTATAGTCCAATAAAACAGATATAAAACAATTGTTACCTAAAACCATTACAATAATTATTAAAGAATATTAAAAACTATAATAGTTCTGTATAAAAACAGAAGAAAAGTAATAAGACAGAGGGATATGAATAATAGTGGAGCAACCTTTGAGTTCATCCATCTCCTCAGGTATCTGACCTGCTGGTATAACCAGGTCTTAACTATTATTATACCACATATATTATTCAAATTTTCAAAGTAATTGCAATAAACCTAAACTAGTACATTTCTCCAATGCTTACTTTGTCCAGGTTTAAACGAATACAGTATTATTTAAATGTTACATGATATTATGATTAACAAATGCTTTGTTACTAAATTCAGTAGTAAAATAACCACTGTCTCTTATGTAGCGTTCCAGCTACTAAAGTTTTCTGCTACTGCAGAAATGTAATTCTCATGTGGCAAGTTATTTTGGTGTTATCAAGTCAGATAGGAAGGACAAATACGTAAAGGCAACTCTCTTCTCTTTCTAATACAATGGTGTTTAAATGTTTTAGATTTTCAATATTTCTGTACAAATATGACATAAAATGTGACTGCTCCACACAATTCTTAGAACTGAATAAAACGAATCCAATTAAACATATGAGTCAAAAATATTATTGTTCATTTTTATTAAGGAAATGATCCAAAGCTATATAATTGTATATGAGCCTCTAGGATAATCAGCTCATTTGAAGGGGAAAATAAAGTCAGGTTGTTCAATCAATGGGATGATAAAAAAAAGTTGTGTGTGTGTGTGTATGGGGGGGGGGGGAGAGGAGTGTCCTGCCTTATTTAAAGAACAGTGTTTTGGGTATTCAAAATCTGATCTTCACAACACAGGTATGTATAAATGTATCTTAAATAGACATGGTTTCATTTCTGTGTTATGATTTTGTATTATGAGAGAAGTTACTTCTCCAATGTGTATACATAAAAAAGATATCTGCACATCTCTATTGAGAATTCCTGAATATATTAAGGATATATTTATTTAATATGAAGTGGTAAAATTCTTTTCTACAGTAAGATGAGAGAACTTTAACAGCTCACAACATTCAAAGTAAATGTTACTAAAAAAAAAGGAGATTTCTGAGGACATCCAAAAATCAGTTGTTAATGCTTCCCTAGGCTGGAAATGTTATCAAACTATTTCCAGAGAAAGCAGATTGTTTATATATGGAGGAAATTCTCCAGGAGGTCTAAAGAACAGCAGGGTAATAACTTAACAAACTAAAGGCCTCTCTTGCATTGGCAAATGTCAATGTTTATGAGATCATCATCAGGAAAACACTGAACAATAGTATACATGGCAGGATTGCAAGGAGAAAGCCACTACTTTTCATCAACATGGAAACAAAAATCTTAGCCGAATTGTGTATTGAAATCGCTTTCTTTTTTCTCTATTGATCCTAATTCTAGACAGGGTGCATAATAATCAATGATTTTTTTTTTAAAAAAAAAAAGTCAACAAAATTGGATTTTTTTATTTTAATCAGATTTTTTTTATTTTTATCAAATTTATTTTAATAAAAGGCTTTTGGAGTAAATATCTATCTAAATATAATTTTCTATTTAAGATACATTAATAATTTTGTTTATTCAGCGTGAAATGGAGCTTAGTTATGTAGTTTGAGGCTGTATATTCTGCAATATTTACATTTTTGGTAAACTCATTCAAGGAATCCAAGCTCTGAAAGCTGAGATAACACGCACTGCACTGATGCATTAACACAATTTCACAGTAACCATGAGATAAATCATAAAGTTCAGGAATATTCCTTTATCCCATTGTTTTGCAAATCTATATACATTATAAACTGTATGATTGTTTGCAGAGAAATGCATCTTACCAGGCTCTAAGTGTTTTAGTTAAATAAAAGAATTTGAGTAGTTTTCCAACTATGTGCGATTAACCTATTAACCTAAAATTGGTTCTGATATCGCTGTTTTACTAACTTGACAGCTTATTATTCTAAATAGGAAACCATTTTGTTTGCAAATAATATTAAAGATTCTAACTACCAGCAAGAATGAGTCCTTATATTTAAAGAGCACCTGTCATTTCAGATCCATCATGGCAGCGCCTGTTAGCGGCCATCCACTCATCTGCTGCCCGCCACATCCCTCACCTTGTGTCATTGCCACATCAGCAGCCGTCCCAGTAAAGTGAATGGGACTGTCAGTGAGTGAACAGCGGGTCAAAGGAGGATCCGCTGCGGGACAGAGATGACAGCTGCTCTTTAAAAATTATGATTTAAATCGAGTTGATTTAAATCAGGCCTTTTTACTAGTGATTTAAATCGACTTGATTTAAATCAAATCCACCCTGGTTCTAGAGAATTAAAACTGAACTCCTCAAAGTCTTTTTGATATCTTTCTCAGCAGTCAGATCTGAATTCCACAGCCAATTACCTGTGGTGGGTTTTAGTTGAAAAAACTTTACAGCTACAAGCTACTTATTCTACTTTATTTGCCAGCATATTAATAATGCCTTTACTTTGGCTCCTTTCAATACTTTACTTTCAACAATATTAGATGGATATTACAACAAAATCCCATTCACCAACAGAAGCCAGAAGGAAACTGAGACCCTAATTGGTATATTTTTTGTTGTCTCTCCCACAGTGATATACATGCAAGAATATTTGCACTTTCGCTCAACAAAAAAATTGGATGTGTTATGAGAGAGGTAATTTTTCCTGCTATAAGGTCACACAATCCTACCATCAATAGCAGAGTTGTCAAGTTTTTAATCTGCAATGATTTCCATAAGAAGGGGTAAAGTGTCTTAATTATGAGTAGCGACTTTTCTTTTGTTTCATTTTTAAGTTGTAATTTCAAAGATTTTACATAACTGTTTATTGCTTCTGTTTAATTTGCTCACTATTTCAGTGATTCATACTGCTTGACTATATTTATACTTCATTAATACAAATCCAGCTCATCTTTGCTCTCTAGATTTCAAAACTCTTGAGTTATAATGACAACATATTATATAAAATATCAACAATTCATATGAAAGTCTAATTGTTCTACTAAAATGCTATGTATTTTATCTGGCATTCTCAAATCAAATACAATATTTTACATTAAGAAACTGCCCTATAAAACAATGTCCATTGGTTTTTCACTTTTGCTGAAAATTAAAACTAAAACTGTAATGCATTTATTGTACAATATTTACTACACACAATTATACATGAAATCAAGGGAACCAAAACTGGGAAACTATCACATATGTGTTCATTTCATGTTTTTTTCACTGAATGTATAATTCCACATCCTTGTTTTGATTAATTAAGCTGTACTGAAAAATATTTAACTGACTCAAACATTAATTCTTGAGATAACCAGAGTAACTGGAAAGCAATCATATTAAAAGGCTATATTTACCATAAAATAAATAAACTACATAAATTTCAAAGCTATTATCAAATTGCCATGCACTGATACTGACAGATAATAGTATCTGTTGGCTGTTGCTTGTATTTTGGTTTTTTTTATGTATTGTATTTTAATTGTTTTTATTTGCTCCCCGAGTCACTGGTTTGAATTGGGTGGCTAAACAAATTGAATGAAATGAATGAATGAATAAATGAATGAATGATGAGGTTTTCTGAACTTTCATTGATAAAGATCAGAAACACTTTCAGAATTCATTTAATGTTTCAGGAATGCCATTTCCACAGAACAGTAGCATGTTTCAAGCATGCTACTAAACTGTGCTTTCATTTCAAACTAATAATGTTTTATTCTGTTAAAATGGACAACTATGTATATTACATTTCTCCAAATCAGATCTTAGCCCTCAGAGATCAAACAAGGATCTTGCCTGAGAAACTAAGACCTGTTTGAGCCAAACATACTTTAATCATTATATTTTTGGTGTGCTTATTTTTTGAGAGTTAAGCTCTGATCAAAATTACATACATCTAAAATTTGGAAAGATTGGTCAAATTTGCTATCATACAGTATTTGATACTTTCACAAAATAGAATTATTTTTTCATACCCAAACTATGCCCATTCTTTGTGTAGAAGCAGGTATTGTTGATAAGATTTACACAACAACCAATGACATCCCCAGTTGTAAATGTTGGACCATAGGGCTGTCCCGTTCCCGAGGAACAAAATGAGTGCCCATCATCTCCATGGTAACCATACGAATGTTTATCCCAACCTAGAAACAAGACAAAAATAAGTATTTACTACATCATAAAATGCCCAGGAACAGATTAAGAGCTGCATCTAAATTTAATTAGTTCTTTCAATAGATTCAAATACATCAAATCCTACAAATGAAAGATCTGGACTGTCTTAGCCTCAACATACAAGAACATACAATATAAAAAATGTTTTATAATGATATGAAGACAAATATTGTGCTTCTGAGCTCAAGAAACTGCAGGTACCATGGATATATAAATTAGCCATGTGTGTTTGCAGCACTATGAATGTTAGAGGGGAAGAACATTTATTTATTTATTTGATGTAATCTAAATGCTGCTTTGACCTAAACAAGGCTCTAATTAACTTACAGAATAAGGTAAATAAGAAAGAGTATTAAAACAATACAGTAGTAAAATCAGTATCAAAACAAAATAACAGCACTCCAAGGAATAGCTTATAGTTTCCAAACCTGGCAGGAAAGTCTCCATCACCACAAAGATATTCCCAAAGCTCTCTAGAATAAACAGGGCTTAATGGATTTCCAAATGGAAAAAGATATTAGAGCCACACTGACTTCATAAAGAATGCTGTTCCAGAGAAGGGGGCTACAAGTAAAATAGCTTATCTCTATGACTCCTGGATATGACATTTCCTAAGGATCCAGAGACACCCTCCTTTTTTAGTAAGTCGAAGCCACTAGAAGAAGGTGATCAATATCTAGGCCAGGGGTAGGCAACCTTGACTCTTTTATGACTCGTGGACTTCAACTCCCAGAATTCCTGAGCCAGCATGGCTGGCTCAGGAATTCTGGGAGTTGAAGTCCATGAGTCATAAAAGAGCCAAGGTTGCCTACCCCTGATCTAGGCCATTGCATTAGAGGTTTTAAACGGGAAAACGGAAAGGCTCCCATCACTTTATAAGTGCTGCATTTTCAACCAGTTGAAGCTTTGGGTGATTTTCAGTGACAGCCCCATGAAAAGCACATTGCAATAGTCCAAATGAAAGGTGACTAGGCATGAGTGACTACGAGCAAGCTCTCCAGGAAAGGCCTTAATTGGTGCACAAGATAGAATTACACAAAGGTCCCTTTAATTATTGTTGCCACCCCCTCATCAAATAATTTTTACTCTGATTCAGCACAGGCCATAGGTTATAAAGTTTGGCATGTAAAAACTGAATGTAAAGTTCTTGTTCAATGCAAGATTTGAAAGCAGCAGAAGAGGTACCGAAATGTTCTCTTTGTACCTAGGAAACAGTATTCTCCCCTTCTTCTCTTCTTCTCTAGTGTCAGTTCTATCAAGATTGTTATTGGCCTGTTTACCAAGCTGTTAGGTTGAAATTTTCTCACGCATTCCTGTATTATTTAGTTGTATCAGCCTTATACAAATAAATTAAGACAGTTGAGAAATCTTCAGTAAAATGACTTTGAAAATGAACCTGGTTTTGGCATTGCAACATGAAACTGTGTGTACATCAGAGGCTAGACATGCATAAAAAAAAAGATGATATATGGAAAGTTATGTATGGACTCCTGGCATTCTGCATTCGCATCAATAATCTTCTGAGTTTTGTATGAGAACGTATAGTTAAAACCTGGTTCAAAGTAATTAAATGAAATTAATTCTTCCCTTCTCATTTTCCTTCCCAGTACAATTTTTGGAAATATAAACAAATGCATATAAATAAGTTTATAAATATAATAATTTATTCAAGAACAATTCTCCTTGTTCAAGTAGACAAATTCCCAAATATGTGTATATGGTTGTTGTTAAACCTTTCAGACCAGGAATATTTTCTGCATTTCCTCTCCACTGCTTAAGGGCAGTTAAAATCACGGTGCTGGGGATAAAATCACAACCAATCTTAGAATATATCATTGATTTAAATATTATTTAAAATGCATTTTAAGATAATTTTTCCTAGTTTAAAACTAAATCTAGGATTTATGCTACTGTTACAAAAATAACTGTGCTTGAGACTGATTAGCAGTGAAGAATGACTGGCTACAAAAACATGTCTCGATTTGTAGACTTTGGTTTGAGAAATTAAAAAAATGTCATACATTATCATCTTAATTCTCACTAAAAATCCAAATTAGACAAGATGTCTCTTTAATGTTTACATTAGCTATTTTCAGCCACTGAATGATACTATTCTATAGTTCCACCTTCTATTTCTCACATTCTACACATATTCAGCTGGAGGAGAACATAAGCATGGTTTGCTTGAACTGGCATAGAGAATTTCTTATGATTCAGTATCCTAACAAAACAGTTCCAAAATATATATCAGTAATAGTACTAAACAGATGAATAAAACTTGTCTTCAATTTTCAGACAGAATGCATAGAAATCAGGAGGAGAAAAGAGGCTAGGGCCAGTATGTACATCCTCTTGTCTGCCCAGTTTGAAGCCCTTCACTCATTCAGCTATACATAAATTAACCTAACAACTAGCTTAATTTCAATTAAGAAAAAAAGGATTTTTTAAAAAAAATCTGGAGAGGATGGTAATTTAAACCACCATGCATACACAAAATGAAAGACACAGTGCAATTCGGGCAATTACCAACACAGACGCCTTTAAGCGTTTTATAATTACCAATCAATTCCTCTAAAGTATTTACAATTTCCAAGCAGAGTTTCAAACAACTGCTAAGAAAAAAAATCTATGTTACTGATAACTCTTTTGGGCCTATTTGATTAGGAAGTGTTCCTCAAATATATTATGCTTAAAGTGAAATCAGCATTATACCAAACTCCTTTTCTTGGTCAAAATGTTACATTTTGAAACTTCCTAAGCAGAGCTAAGATATTCACATAATTGTGGCATGTTGAATATCCCTTTTTTAGATAGAAACATCCATCTATAAGAGTAACCTATTCCAAATAAAATTTATACTGAGATACAGAGTACTTTTTTTCAGTTCTGTTATGCTAAATGGTGTTTAACTGATGTTTGCATAGAAGGCCTGCATTATCTTCCTAAAACCACTCTTGAAATGTTGGAGTAAATTTTGATAGGATATGACAAGCTATACCTTGAATAAAAACCAACATTCTTTCTAAATCCTAGATTACATTAAAAACTTATTAAAGACAGTTCTCATCTAGAAGAAAGAAAAGATGAATGGATTCATATATGATAACAATAAAAGGTTTTTAAAAATAATTATTCTTCATCATACCTGGTAGTCTGTTCATGTTCACTCCTTGAGCCGAGAGCCCAATTCCCATATAACTGAAAAATGGAAATTTAAACAGTCATCTTTCTCTGCTTCATATATACTCATTTCAAAACAGTAATGAAACAAAAAGCAATTTTTCAATTTAATTTATAATGCCAAAATTTTTGACTTTTTACTTAAAATATTTTTATTTATTTGATTTTTATTATTTTCCTTTCTTGAGAATATTAACGACTGATAAAAAATACTTTTACAATATTCAGATATTAAGGAATTATTGAGTATTTATTTCTGGTGTAATTAATCAGAAAAAAAACCCTGTGTTACATTTTCCATTTGGATTATATTTTGCTCTACTAATTAATCTAGAAAATATTTGCCAAGGTTTAAGAACTTCAACAAGGAACGCACCCATGTCCAACTTTGAACTTTGCCATTCCAAGAATCTTCCTAAGAGATAACATGCAAGCAATAGTGGATGGAGCCTGACTTTGACAGGTAGAAATGCCCTAAAATGGTTCCAGAGAAAAATACATGTGCTTAGGGAGGGAAGAAAGGGAAGAAATCTGATGGCAAACAAATCAAATGTCTTCTAGGATGAAATTCCTTCAGGTTGTTCGAAAGTAATACTGATTTCTAAAATCTTTTTCTAGAAAAATGAAATACAATCCACATTTCATGAAAATGACCAAAAAAGAAAAAGAAGAAAGTTGATTTATAATGTATTAATTTCTACCTAGCAAGTAAGATTTTGGAAAAGAAAAATAATTTAATGTGGATTTTCCCCACATTGGTATGTTTGATTTTTAATGCAATTCTGGAAAATATCTACTTTTCAAAGTAAAGTCCCCGTTCCCCTCCCCATGTATCTGTTATATGGAGGTGCTCATCCTCTAAAAATATTAATGAAGAAAAAGAAAAAACATATTTTTGCAGAGATATTTAACATTTACAATAGCTTTTCCTCTGCTTAGCAGCTGAGAAAGCAAGTGTCGTGCCAATATAGGACCCTGATAGGAAAATTCAAATTCAAAATTTAAATTGAATCTTTAAAGATTTCTATAGGATGAATGTGTGTAAACTAAAGATTGTTAATACTCAACATCACAAAACTTGCAGTTATTACTCCTTGAAGCTCAATCATAATCTCCTATCACACAACAATTTAATAATGTATTTTTTGTAAGAGAACAATAAGAACTTACCAAGTGATAAATTATAATGGCTAAAATAAATTATGCATTTTATAATTAATGCTGTAGGCCAGTGGTGGCGAACCTGTGGCACGGGTGCCACAGGCGGCACTCAGAGCCCTCTCTGTGGGCACGCGCGCCGTCGCCCCAGTCCTAGGCCTTCAGCTAGGTTTTATAAAACCTTTTCGCTTTAGGCCTCTGCCGCCGTGTACAAAAAAAAAAGGTTCAATCAATCAGTCAATTTCAACTTCTCGTGGGAAAAAAAAAGATCTTGCAAAGTTGGAATTGATTGATTGAACTTTTTAGTCCCACCCAGTCTGCTGTTACCGCCACAGCCACGCCCAGCCAATGGGCCACACCCAGCCAATGGGCCACACCCACCTGGCACCCAACGATGCATAAGTGGGTTTTGGGTTGCAGTTTGGGCACTCGGTCTCTAAAAGGTTCTCCATCACTGCTGTAGGCTTTATTAGAATTTAAGAAACTGTAAGTGCTAAAATCCAGATGGATTACCTCTCAAGGATTATTTACCATGCCCTACTTTATGCTCAATGATGGATTCAATTCTAAAATTAGTATTGATGACTGCCAATAGAACTGTATAGGCATTCCCTATCAGTTTAATTGGAATTTCAAGTGGGGCCCTGGTCTTTCGCACCTGACAGTTTCACCTCGTTCAGTTTCAAGCAAACTGTCCTAAAGGAGTTTCCAGAGAAAAACAAAGCTAGACGGTCTTTTCTTTAATCAAAGTAGTCAATTTAGCCACCTTAGCCAATTCCATCAGCTTCCCCATTTGTTCTTTCATTGTAGGAATGTGTTGGTCTTTCCCCTTCTGTGCATACAAAAGTCTCGCTTACTGACGTGAATAACAAACAGGACCTTCTATATTCTCCCAGGCAATATTTTCCTGATGACAAATATTTCGGTATTTTAAATGAAAAAAGAAACTAAATATTACTGAGCTCCTCTAATAGTAATAATCACAGAAAATATAAGAATTTATCAAGCAATTAATCTGGAATATTTATTTGCAGATTTTTTAATAACTGCTTTCTTTTCTCACTCTAAATTTAATACATCAAATAAACTGCAATGCAGCCAAATTACGGCAATAGCTTAGGTATTACACCTGGATAGGACCTAGATTCAAATTGCTATTTAACAACTGAGTTGAGTGACTTGGCATTAATTTTTCTATCTTAGCTTACAGCATTATTGTTGCAGAGATAAAATGAGGGGAATGTGGATACTACAGTGGTGCTTACAACTCTTTTAGATTATCTTTTAATTAGATTATATATAATTAGATAATATTGTTCAAGATACTGAATATAGCACTCCCTGGTCTAATTTTTCCAACAGCTACTCTGTGAGGTAAAACTGTGCCAATCTACCTATTCATCTGTCTTGTCTGCCTATCTGCCCCCTCCCCTGCCCCCATGGGTAGTATGTGTCTTGCTCAATTTCAATCTTCTACAAGAGGCCTGAGAGTTTGAAGGTTCTGTGCAGCATCTTAGCTGTTTCTAGCACTATACTCTTCTGGGCAGAGAACTCTCATGTTGTTCTTGGGATCTATTTAAACCATTCTCCCAACTTAGGAGTTACAACCCTATGTCCTCCTACCATTACTAGGACCACTTTGGCTTTTACTTTCCACATCTTTTCTGATTTCTCCTTCAGACCCTTCTCCAGATTTTCATATTCCTTCTTCCTGATGTTGCTGTCACTTGCCACCACTACATCTATTATCACTGCTGTCTTTTTCTTCTTGCCGACTACCACGATGTCTGGTTGATTGCCTTCCAGTTTGGATCTGGAAGTCCCATAGGATCTTAGCCCTATTATTTTCCACAAATCTCTCTTGTGGACTTGGGAGGGTATTGCCCATACACTTTGCAATTGTCCCTGTACACAATGTCAGCTACTTGGTTGTGCCTTTCAATGTATGCTATTCCTACCTGAAACTAATATCCTGCCAGTATGGGTTGAATTGTCTTCTGAGGTCTCTCTGCACAGTCTGCAACTTGGCTCCTAGATAGTGCAGCAGACCCCTGCTTCTACAGATCTGATGCTTAGTTCTTCTTCTGGTACTGCTGTGACTAGTGTTCTCTCTTCCAGCTCTTTCCAGCCACTGGTAGGATTTCCCAATGTCAACCACCTCAGCTATCTCTCAATAGTATATCCCATGCAATGGTACTTCCTGCCATGGTACTTCCTCTGTTTGATCTTCCTCCTTTGTCCAATGCTGCCTCAGGCATTCTCTCAGCAGCTCATGTTTGGGTACCATCTTACTGATGTAGTCCCAGGTGCTATGGGTTTCCTCCAGGACAATGGTTTTGATATTGTTTCCAACTGGTGTACAGTATCTGGGTGTTGGACATGGGATGGAGTCCTTTGTAGATTGTGGATCTTCTGGATCTTCACATCACTATCTCCCGTGTCCTCCTTTGGCCACTATATTGGCAGGGTATCTAACGACTAGCAGGGCATACATGTTGATGGTATGGAACTTGTTCTTTATGAGTTGGCTCTTCAAGACCCGTCTTATTTTTGGTGCTGATGTCTTCCTTGCCTCCTCCTCATGGTTCCCTTGTTACTCTTGGATACTGAGGTATTTGTGGCTGATCAGTATGGCTGTTATGTGGCTTGCTCATAGTTCTTAACTATCTTCCCTCTCTTTATTACCATTGGCCACATTTCTCAAGTCCAAATGATATCCCAATGTCCTCACTGCGGATGGATGGATGGATGGATGGGCGACTCAATGTCTCATTCACTCTTAGTACATAGTTTGATGTCCTCCATGTAGAGGAGGTAGCTGATGGTAGTTCCACTCTTGAACATATATCCATATTTCTTTGGGATTATCTGCCTATGCAGAACAGAGCAGCTACAGTGCATTACCTTGGTATATGCTCCACTTTATGGCTACTCAGATTAAGTCCTTCTAGACCTTGAATTTTGGGTGAGTGTTCTCTCTATGAACAATTGGTGTTGTTCCCAATGTCCTTCTGAGCTGTGCTCATATACTGGCCTATTAGCAATTAATAGACACTAATCTAAACCACAGATGTCCTATGTTTAGAAACATGAATCAGACATGGACTTCTTATGAAATATAACATACATTTGAGTTGTGTGCCAAGTAGGCTGGCTACATAAATCAATTAAACAAACAAACCATAATTTCAAGTAGTGCTCAACTTAAGCCACATGCTGTGGGAACAGTTTCAGGGGTTAACATATGTACTTATTTATTCTGTACTCATAAAAATGCAACAATAATTTAAACAAATATTTAGGCCATTGACTTTTGTATACATATCTAAATTAAAACCCTCACCAGATGGCTCTGCGTGGAACCAGCAAAAAGAATCCAATATAACAGGTTTCATTTTCTTAGGGTTTTCTTAATAATCAGAAAATCCTTCCCTCTAATTTATGACTATTATTCCATATCTTGCATCCTCAGGTATAATAACCAAATACATTTAAATACCAGTTTTAATTTCAAATTCTGACATTTAAAAGAAGTCACTATCTAACTGCAATCTAACTGATCCTATTTGGTTCTCATCAAAGGCATCTCTACTAAGGCCTTATTTAGTTTCATATTCATAATGAAATCCCTCTTCCTTGCCTAACAAAAAAGGCATTTCAAAATTCCAATTTGAAAAACAACAAACCAAGAAAAAAGCATAGGTAAAAATAATCTTGTTTATTTCCTTAGTTAAGCAACTTGGTGACGCCTCACAAATTCAGAACTACAACTTCCATAATGACAGGTTTAGTTTTTTCTGATGGCAGGAGTCAAATGGTGAAAGATTGGGCAGCATAAACAACTAGTTATTAACAATGAG